CAGGCCGCGCAGAGCAGCAGAGCCGATGTCGCTGTAATCTGTGGATGGCGCACGGGAGTCCGGGACGGAACAGAAGCGGGGTGCCGGACTGGGATGGAGCGGCCTTGTTGAGGCGCGGTCAGACATGGGTCCCGGCTGTCTGTTTGGGCACCGTGCCAGCTACCGCGGTGAATTATGCTGAGCTGCTGCCAGACGGTAAATGGAAGATCATCCTTCTTTTAATATTTGCTCTGGTGGGGAGCCGCGCCGCTGGACTGATCCCGGCCCACGAAGCCGACCTTGCGGCCAGCAGCCGCCTTAAAGTGCTTCCTCGTCTCCCGAGGGTTTTATGATAATTTAACACTCATTAAAAATATCAAAGTATTAGACCATTTCCCAGTTATTAAAGGACATTTTTATTGCTCCCTGGAAGAGCGTGAATTATTGGGCTTTCAGAGGCACGTTTTATTGCTGCGCGTTGGATACAGGCTCATTTCAGTCATTGGCTTAAGCTGCGGTGGGTGGGGCTACCTTGAGCTGTCAGTCAAAGTTTGCTCTAACCTTGCTCACTCATTGGTCATTTCAAGGCAGGCCTGAGCATTTTCAAACTATGACTAGTTTTTTTCATTTTTTGGAGAAGCTCATTGTTACATTCCCAGGATAGAAACACCAGTTGTAATCGCGATTATTCATAAGCCTTGAACATAAAACCATTTTTTTCCCTCCAATTTTAATGATCACAGGGCTAGCTTTCACCCAGGTCCGTTCTAGGCGTCCGTCTCGGGTCTAACCGGGCGGTAATTGACAGCTGTAATCCCACCCGCTATGGGTCTTAACGCCTCATTTTTCACCCACAGCTGTCTGTAGCTTTGACTTCCCTCTTATTTATCTGTTTACACTTTTCAGCCGACGATGAATGACTGCGAGCGAAGGGGTCACAGAAGCTAAGGGAGCTGTTTGCTTTTAGCCCTGCACCGGAGTGAATGTATTTACATTTCATCTCATGTTTAATGCATCAGATGGCAGCTTGTGACTGTATACGGCTCCTCTTAAATCTCCCCAAGCACACGGTGGAGGGCAATAACAGCATAGCTGAGCACCGGTGTTGAGTAATAGCCTGGGTGCCGGAGAGTCATGTGATGGATGCCTGCGCAGGCGAGTCATGTGATGGATGTCTGCGCAGGCCACATCTGTATGCTTGTTTGTCTTTGAGAGTTTAGAAGGTTGTCTAATATAAGGAAATTGCACCTTGTCACATAACTTTATACTTTTTTTTTTCTTAACATTTTTCATATGTTCAGTTTCGCTCTGGATGTCTGGATTATTCTCTCTCTCTATCCATTTGCTAACCATTCTCTTTGTCCTAGTGATGTATTGGCTTTATAAGCTGATGAGGGGGGGTGTTCTCCTTCACCATTTCTCCTGAGAACACGGTGGCCCCCCCTGAGTTAGAAACATTTTGGCCTGTAGCCAATTCAGCGCCTAGAAATTAATTTCCACACTCGCTGGCATCTTTAATTATCAACTCAAAAGCCACCAGGCAACTTGTATGTCATTATCCTTTTAATTTGGGAGTAACAGCAGTTAGGTTCGTTGAGGGTTATTAATAATTGACTGAGACTTTAAACCCCCAATTAGATGGACCAGCGGGCAAAGGGGAAATCCCAGCGAGCCCAGTTTGTTAGTAATGGCTGACATTTGTGCCCTGCTGGATGGGACACAGGGCCTCCAAGAAAACCTGCAATTATTTCAAATGGCACATTAATTCCATTTCGAAGGGGATAAAAACACCTGATATTTAAGGGAAAGCCCCCACCCCCCTCCGCATTGTCAATGACAGCAAGTTTGTATTGATTTTTGTCTGGATGGTTTATGATATGAGCCTCTTCTGTAATGTTTTTTAATTTAATTTCTCGTATTGAGATTTATCGTTTCAAAGCAACTGGCCTCCGGTCCCTGTTGCCCCGGCCTCCGGTCCCAGTTGCCCCCGGCCTCCGGTCCCAGTTGCCCCGGCCTCCGGTCCCAGTTGCCCCCGGCCTCCGGTCCCAGTTGCCCCCGGCCTCCGGTCCCAGTTGCCCCCGGCCTCCGGTCCCAGCTGCCCCCGGCCTCCGGTCCCAGTTGCCCCCGGCCTCGTGCTGTGTGGCTCCGTGAGGGGAGGCACTGGGATCACTGCCGCCTTTTATTGGATAAGCAGTAAGCTGTTTTAAAGAGTAAATCACACCCCGTGCCCCCTTTCAGTGAACTGGGTGCAGTACCTGATGCTGGTTATTTTACGTCCTCAGAAGACTGGACAATAGTGGCAGTGCTTTTGGGAGCAATTTTCAAAAGAGAGACTCCATAGCTTTTAGGCCCTTTATGTTAGACTCTGACTGAAAGTTTCTCAAGACAGTCTCATATAAACCAAACACTAAAAGCTGAGAGCATCGTCGAATAGGCGTCAAATTCCAAGGTCACATGGGCTGTGTTCCAATTGACCGACGCCTTTGATGTGGCATTCCGCTGTAAGATCAGTTGTTCTGGTCTCGTACTTTTAGGTAGAAAGTTTTCAAACTCTCTGGTGCCCCTCAGACCCAGCTGTGGATCCTCACGCACATCTGGCATGTCCCGTCAAGTGGAACTCCAGAGAAGCACTTGGGTGGATCTTACAGTTTTTGTTGTATTTGCTAGACACTCTCAACTACAGCAGATGCGGCCCTTTCCCCAGTAGTCTGTTTCTGAGTGTGAGATCGCCTCAGTTTCGCCCCCTGTGGGTGGAGAAGAATATCACCTCTGGGGTAGACTCAGCCTGCTGCTCTGAAGCTCTGTCACACCTACCCAGATGGTTATGAGGAAGATCACTGGAGTGTTGCTTTTTCCAAGATGTCCTCTGATACATTTCAAGCCAGGGATAGTGCATTGGGATGGAGACTGTGATGTGTAGCTCGGAATTTACGTGCGAGTAAAGGAATTCCACAGAATTTATGGGCCGCATAAAACAACATCAAGGTGACCAGCTGTTATAAAAAATGGCAGCATTCGATAAGGTTAGAGGGAGTTCTAGGCTATGGAAATGTATCTGTAATGTGTGGCACACAGTAGGAGCCCACAAATTAGCAGTGAGACGGACAGTTCTGTCAGTGTGAAATATTAGGGACCAAACAGATTTATGTCTTGGTGATCTGCAAGTGAGCAGTTTTCGAAATCTGCTAGATGATCCATTGGTGTTGATAAAGGCGTGTTGACATGGAAACCCCTCTCCGCATTCACCTTATCACCGTATCCAGCTTCCCCACCATCCAGCTGCCTCTGGTTTCCATGACGTTGGACAAATCAAGTATCTCTGAGTTGATGGACGATATTCTGCCCATCGGCAAGGCAGGACACAGGACACAACACACTCGGCTGTGCGTGTCATTGCAAAATTGAACTGATGTCTTTAGGCAGTTAGTTACTGATTACTGGTTTGTTATGGGATGCTTATGCCGTTTTCGGCTGGTATACAGGAACCGAGACGTACCCGACCCATACCGCAAGGAGACACTAGTTACAGCGATGTAAACCCGAAGAGACACTTATTCACTGTGTGCACAGTGTGCATCGTGATTTATTTTGTGCTAAGTGTGTGTGAATTGCCATCTTATGTTGGCATCAAGCGCTAGCGGAATTAGCATTCGCTTGCGTAAATTTCATTCCGGTCACCTGTTCTATAGTACTTTTTAAAATAGGTGGTTGGAAATTTTTTACGTTTCAAGTAATCGAGAATACATCAATACGTCGCAATGTGCCACACTACTAAGAATGAATAATATATAGGATATGCCCTTTATTCCTCCAGGTAATCCATGCAGATCATCGCAGAACATCGGTATCTCTGTGCATTATGCCAATCAGACTGCGGTGACCTGCACAACCAGCTCAGTTTGGTGACGCTTTCAGCCCCGCGGGTAAACAGGAGCAAGTCAGCACAAGGATGGCGCGGTTCTCGGTGGCAGTGGAAAAGCACCGTTACAGGCCTTGCTAGTCGTTTTTTGGCCTGTACCATATGGCAGGAGGCTCAGTCTGTGGCTTTGTGTACAGTTGCACCATCGCTCTTCTGCCTGTGGGGGGCGCTGGTGGGGGACGGAGGATTCCCAGTGCGCCTCCAGCTGATGTGTTTGCATCCCGCTTCATTAGCCCCGTGGAACGTGTGTTATCACCCCACCCACATGCGAATCCTTTCCATCTGCTCACATTCAGGCTCTGGTAGTTGCCTGTTCCCACTGCTGTCATCCTCCCACACACCACCAGGGGGGTGCACTCCCTGTCCGCCCGCCCGTCTATCAGGATCCCCCTACCTTCGGGGTTAATGCCTGCAGCATTTCACGTGTCTGTTTGCTGTTTATAACCTGTAACCCGTGACTTTTCCAGCTGCACCTGTGCTGTTCGTGTTCCCAGTTAAGCTCGATCAGCTATGAGTATGATTTGCTCGCATCTGAAGCAGGGTCACCTCTCAGCAACCCAGCCGCTCGCCTTCAGAGACCCTGCCCCCCATCTCATACCTCTGATCCATTTTCCAATAGCTGGTTTGCAAAATAACGCCGCGGTGATCCGGCGCCGGGGCACCATGTATACGCCGCTCCGTCCGATTCATTGGTCCTGTGTCATGCGACTTTTTTAACTGGAATGGAGCACACGTGGATGGGGTAGAGACAGTGTCTGTTGGGGAACTTGATGCTGCACAGTCTGTAAAAGCTTTAAACAAAGGAGGTGATGTAGTGAAAGCAAACAGAACTGTGAGCTCTCTCTGTGAGGCCCACAGCACACCTGCTCCCTGCTTTTCAAATTGGACACTGTATCACTTGGACAGAAAGTTCAACATCCTGCAGGTTCTTATGTCTGATGCCCACAGTCTTTGTGTAGGTCTGGGACGTGATTGGGTGACCAAAGCTGTGTTCCATCACGTGATCAGTGCTCAGAATGAATGCCCTCCCATTATTTGGCTCTGCAAGGCAGAAGCCATGTTGGTTCCTCTTGACGTTCTCCACGGTGTCCTCACCTCACAGGGGTTCCTCAAGAGTGAGCGCTTGTCCAGGATGGTGCAGACCGGCAGCTGCTCTGCCAACGACTTCCGCGAGGTCTTCAGGAGGAACATCGAGCGGCGTGTGCGCAGCCTACCCGAGATCGACGGACTGAGCAAGGGGACGGTGCTGAGCTCGTGGCTGGCCAAGTATGACACCATCTACAGGGGTGACGAGGACTTGCGGCGGCAGCCTCCCAGGATGCAGTTCCACGGCATGTCGGAGCTGATCCTCAGCAAGGAGCAACTGTATGAGATGTTCCAGCAGGTTCTTGGCATCAAGAAGTTTGAGCACCAGCTGCTCTACACTGCCTGCCAGGTGGGTGGTCTCTGCATGCTGTCACCCGAGCAGACGTCACATTAAGCCTGGAAAGACCTCCAAGGCCGGCCTGCTCCCGGCTCAGCACCCTCCTCATTTCGAGCCCCTCTCCTGCCATCATTATCTTACCCCCAGCTCTTGTTTCTGGAAGCCTTATGAGTAAATAGTTATACCTGGAATTAATTGTCTCTCTCAGGCAGATGTTACTGTGGTTACTGCATCAATATCAGAAATTATAATTAAGCATAGTATAGAATGTCTAAAAAAGGAAAGTCTATTTTAAGTGAATCTTTGCTCTGTTAGACGAATTGCGATCTTCCTGTGGAGAGTGTTACCGACCTCACCCCAGTATGCAGCTCCAGATGCGTCAACTCAGAGCTATAGTACAGTCATCCATCCACTCACGCCCTATCGAATAACGTCCGATCATACTTACGTAAATAGAATTTAGCGAGATGTCCGAAGCAGACGTATTGGACGTTAGCGGACATATTTTACCACGTGAGGCATGTGGCAAGAACCAAGACTGATTGTGTTGCCAGCCGCATAATGCTGCACAGCACATATATATATGTTGTATATGTAGTTGACGACAACGATTAACAGATATTCTATGTCATGATGGTAATATGTCCATCCATCCATCCATTTTCCAAACCGCTTATCCTTCTAGATTTATAGCGTATAATCTTCCAGTAATGTCTCTTGTGTGCATTTATTAGTCAATTGCAGTATTTTGACATATCTGGCTATATAGAGTTGGTACACTACAGAGGTTTAGCTAAATGTGTGTGATCTTATGTTGTACAATATATTTCACCTCTGCTCCATAACGATTGAGATGCATCCAGGGTGACTTATGTCCTCAGTTCCGGAATGTAAGCCCATGGATACCTGTATTATGCTGAAATGTAGTACTCTCCAGATTCAGATCAAAGGACAGGAGTTTGATGTGCAGCCCTCTGATTAAGGCAGGGTGAGAGGGAGTGCACAGGCAGGGTGAGAGGGAGTGCACAGGCAGGGTGAGGGAGTATACCTGCACCAGTCTATTAGATTATCTGTTGAATTGTGCATTTCCTCTTGTTCACCACTAGGTGGTGTAACGGGCGGAATATTGTCTGCCAGGGGAAAGGGGCTCATTTAGCTGCCCTGGGAAGTCTGGGCACATCTGACTGTTCAGTCGGCTGTATAAGTGCATCTCTGTTTTGTAACTGCAGAATTGCAGATAAGGTCCAATGCACTGGCCCGACCCAGTAATGATTAGAGAACTCTGGGCCAGGGCGGGGACACCTCCTCAGGCTCACGTATTCACATACACCACGGGACAAATTACATTTGCTTTGCTTTGAGAAATTCCGATAATTAGCTTGCTGGATCATTGATCCACAGGAATGATTTACTTTAGTTTTTTTCCTGGTATATTATAGTATTGTAAATAATTGAATAATTGCTTGCAGACAGTATGATTATTTCTCAATTGCATAGAAGTACTTTGCCCCATATTGGGCTAGTGAGACATATTCATGTGTGTAATTAGTGTGATGAGTGTGAACATGAAGTCGCCCCAACACTACGTTAAGGCTACCCTGCGTGGTTGCCTGGGTGATGTTCAGTGGTTGCTGGGCTAAGTCATGATGGAATAACATAAATTCATGGACCAGGGGTCTTTATGGCTGTGGTTTTTCGTTTGTCTCAAACCCCGTCCTATCCTGATAAAAACAGAAGCCGCACCTGTCAGTGATTGTGTCAACGGCCCGCGTGGGTTTTGGATGGGATCTTGCGGAAGAGGCTTCATGAGGGGGGGGGGGGGGGGGTCGCCGTGGGGATATGATAGAGATTGTATCTTGGGAAACGATGGATGGAGCGCCGATGACATGAACTGGGGAGGCAAGCGGCATGAACCCACCTTCCTGGGCGGTTCTGAATGGAAATATCAGCGTGCTTCGGGGAGACTGCCTGTCTGTTAAACATTCAGACGAGGTTATTTTTTAACATCTCAGTCCTGATCTGTCCTTGGCTGGCATTCCAGAAAAAAAGCAAATGGATTAAAAGAACAGGACAAAGTACACGGCATTAGCGCGGGACCCGCCGGCGCTGTTACCCAAAGAGAATTATAATTCTGCTGGTGCCAAGGCCTGACGCTTCCCCGAGCGGTACGGGCGAAGGCGCCGCACTCCATGGCAACAGGAACAGCCCCCTTCTCCTACCTGAGCCAATAGCATGCGCAGGGCACAGCGCTCTGTGAGCCCAGTCAGCCAGGGAAGAGGATTGTGGGAGTTTCAAAGTGTGTCACACGGGTTTGTGTATCGCGAGGTGAAAATCCTTTGGATGGTTTCAAAGATCCACGCTCCATCACCAGCCAGTCAGACCCGTTTTATCAGGAGAGGCTGAGGCCTTACGCCCCTCCACCCCCCCCCCCCCCGCGAGCCAGGACCTGGTGTCATTGCTGGGGCAACATCCAGAGTCCATCCATTCATCCATCCTTCTGGCCAGAGACATGTAATGAACACCGGAGGGGCCTTCGAGACGCACTGCCTTCTCGGCCCACATTTATTCAGCCCACATTTATTCAGCTCACCTCTGTTTTTACCCCCCTTCACACCACTGTATTTATCGTTCACATACACATTGCACTATGTATATAAACCCCAGGTTCCAGCCCCCCCCCCCCCATTGCACACTACCCATTGTGCAAACTACCATATTGTGCAAACCCTCCCTCTGTCACTTGCTGTCTGTATATCGCACTGTGGTCCCGGGGGGTCAATACTTTACGCCACTGTATACCTGTATGTGGATGACATAAAAATAAGCCCTACTGGACTTGGCTTGACTTCTGGGTGCCGCGGAGGGGAATGCATCACTCCGAGGGGAATGCATCACTTCCATTATCCACTCATTCTATTGTCTCAGAGTTTCGAAGGGCAGGAGCGCCAAAGCCGCCTCGCTGAGCACGGAACCCGCTGGATCCGTTCCGTTTGTTGTCATAGAGATGGGCTGACGTTGTGGGTGCCGTAGCGCGGCGATGTGACCGTGTGTTTGACGTGTGTGTGCGTGGGTAGGTGTGAATCCGGTTTGTTTTCCCAGAGCAACAGTAGTATACTTTAGCAGAGAAAAGGGAAGGTGATCCGGGGGATTCCTTCCAGTTTGCACGGGTGGGAAGGGTGAGAGCCGGGGACCGTGCTCTTGTTAGGGCTACGTGGTGAAGCGCCACGCTAAGGCGTCATGCCGCGTGAAGTCATTAATCACAGGCGATATTAGTGGTATTACCCCTCTGACAGTGACATCCGGCAGTGCAATTTGGATAAAATGTGGGCCAAGGTGGAGGCACAAGAGGGGCCATAATCCATATAGAGGGGCCAACTTACTCTTTAGCCAATGATATACAGTGGTACCTCGGTTCTCGAACTCACTAGAACTCGAATTTCTTGAAAGTCCGAACAAACCAGTTTGACCTAGAACTCGATCTGAATATCAGAAGTCGAACCGTGAACGCTGACCTAATATAAATTGTACGCGCCAGGAAATGAGTCATACTACAATGCAATTCTTACTGGAATGCCTTCTTCACAGACTGGACGATTAACCAAATAAAGCAGCGCAACATTACAGTAACTAACAATAAATAAACCACTAACTTACGTGTACTATTAGAGCATTTATGTCATTTATTTTAACTTTATTTTACCAGGTAAATTAAATGAAAACCAGTTCTCACTGCTTTATACGTGATATTCGGGAGAAATAGCAGATTACGCATCGGAACTGCCTGGGATACAAACGTCATGCGTGTAACTAAACTCTTCAGCCAATAAGGGCAAAGGTGTGTCGTCACGGAGGCGGTTCCAGTTTGTGCAGTTGGGTGAGAGGTTGCAATGGATCAGAATGTTTTGCTTTAAGCCAGTGCTTAAATTCTTGTTTTATCCTGTTCATTTGTGTTTAAATGTGTTTAAATGCTAAAAAAAAAACACAAAAACAGACCAAACACCCCCCCCCCACACACACACACACACCCCCAGGCCCCCAGCTTCTCTGTGAGCTTTTCTCACCAGTGAAGCCCAGAGGAGGTCTTATCCTCACAGACAAAACACACACACGCTGCTCGTCGCTGCTTGTAGCTCCTCTGCGTTTCTGCAACCCCCCCGCCGGGGATTTAAATGAATTGCCGTGCTGTTTGATTCTTATGAAAGTATTTTTCTTTTCATTTCTCCATTCTGTCTTTTCCTCGGGTCCGTCTGCTTTATTTACCTGGAGCCAAGGCCTGCCCAAGGCTGCTGCGGGCCCAGCGGCCACCAGGGGGCGCCCATCTGTCAGAACGGGAAGGAAGATGACAAACGCAACCTAGGCTCATCACAAAGGTTGTGGGTTGTGCCGCCTCCCAATTGGCGAGACGCGGGGCTCCTGCCCCGGGGGGCTGTCCATTAAGAGAATGAGTAAAGGCAGCACGTCGCCCCCTGGCTGCGAGCCTCAGTGAGTGCGCCTCTCGCGCCTGGTCTCCGTCAAGCTGCCCTAGTATCGATCAGCACCGTCCCTCACAATTACACCCGCTGGCTCTTCCGGGGCAGCATTTGACCCCTGGGACCCGCCTTCTATAGCTGAGGTGAGCGAGTCCACCGGCTGGGAATGGCGAGGGCTGTGAGTCATTAAGGTACCCTGGGGGTCCACCCCACACTCCCCCCCCCCCCCCACCGCCATAAATTCCCCATGTCATGGAGTCCGTCACGCATACAAAGACCTGGGCTCTCTGGGTACGTTACATAACTAAAACAAACCGTATCGTGATAATACGTTATCTAACAGTGTTATTCATTTACTGTATGAAGCGATTTTAAGGAGCGCCTCGATGTGGATTCCATTAATTATTATTTTTCATTTGCACTACGACCAAACAGAACGATATTTCAGCTCAGTGATTGATTCCATGCATCATATATTTGGGACTGACGATTAAAAATACTTTGTCTTTGATGCCCTGGATGGGCTGCCAGTTCATCATGGGGCTCTTGTGTTTCCATTAATGAAATTAGTGCAATGAAAATAGCATATTTGTGTCAAAATACTTTATACAATCCTACGTCTCATCAGTACTACTTACCGCAAAGAAATGCATTTTTTGCATATGTATAAAGAGTATTTTAAAGGTAATGAAACTATGGCAGATACCGAATAGAGTGACTAATTTAGGTAGAGCTAACTAGTACTGGGTAAGACCCACTGTGAGCAGGATCGTGGATGCAGAGAAGTCGTTCTGCATGAGCCTGTTGCACGGAACAGCCCTTTTTGCACTATGCGACCTTCCTGTTAGCTTTAAGGAGTCTAAGCACTCGTTAACAAAGTGCTTTTGGCTGCAGTAGTGCCACACACCAGGTTTTTTCTTTGTTCGTCGCATTTTCTAGACGCTGTAGTGCAGCGCACCCGCTGCTCGTTCTCAGGCACTGGAACCACAAAGTGCGGCACCAACAATCCCCCAAGTCGGAAAGCGCTCCATCCCGCCGTCTTGGCGGTAAATGAACCTGCCGCCCCAGCCAGTGCGCTGTATGTATTCAGTTACAGCCACACATATCCCTGTCTGCAGCAGTGAAGCCATTAAGCTGCTTAAAGAGGTGTTTTCACAGTGTTTATGATCAAGGACAGCAGTTAATCTGCAGCCCAGGGTTTGACTGAGGAGGTCAAGACCCCCCCCCCCCCCCCCGAAGGCCCATAACTGTCTGATGTATCAGACTCCATCATTAAGAGCCGCTGATTGAAAGTGATGCCGCGTCAGCCAATAGCGGCGTGCATCTGAAGCACCTCCTGTCGCCATGGAGACGGCACTGCCGCCGCATTGCTCCTTTCTTCAGTACCCTTATCTATCTCTTCCATTCAGATTTAACACATGCTGATGTCTGCCGGGCTGCAGGACCTGAACGCGCCCCTCCGTTCTCTGTCAGATCTCTGCACCTTCGTCGAATGTGAGAACCCAGGGCAACTCGAGGGTCGGGCGGGGTGATAAGAGTCTTAGTGGATGACAAAAGGGAGGAAGTACACAGGTGGTCGGCTCCAAAGCTGCAGATGTCTGGGCAGAGCGCGGGGCACCGCCCCTTTCCATCCAGCCAATGAGAGAAGCGCTTCGAATCAGTCGGTAACTCACCGGGGCACTGTAGCCCCGCCCACTTCGCAAACATTTCTCCCAGTGCTCAGTCGACAGTGACGATGATAAACAGATTGTGAGATAAAAGTTAGCTGGGATCCGGCGACGTATCCTGTCCCGATTCGCCCACGCGTGACCGAGTCCCGCCCCCATAAAGCCCCCTGCCCCTTGCAGGACAGCCGGAGCAGCTCTCGCTCCTCGACGACGTGACGTGCCCCCCGTGTTATCAGTCACAAACAGCACTGCGGTGGGAGGGTGGGGGCGTGGGAATCCTGCCTGGGAGCGAGGATGGCATTTCTTAAAGAATCGCTCAGTTTTATTTTTAAATGTTTCCAATTTATGCCATGAGCAGAAGCGTTTTATCTCTCTGTAGCGTGGAAGGGTTAAGGAAGTCTTCCTCGACCTCTTTCCAGCCTGATCACGCGGCCTGGGGTGTTCCTTAGTCATGCACAGCCTGGTAGGTGACAGCTATACTCAGTTCTCGCCACAAGATGGCAGCCTCTGAGGATGCTACTGTCACCATTCACACCTGCCATCTGGGATTGGCAGATACATTTTCCTGCAGCGGAAAGTGGAGGTATACTGCCAGCGTGAATTAATCTAACAGACCATTTTGTAAAAACTGCATTATAATGCACAGTCACTAGGGGGAGCCACAGAGCAGTTCTACTGCTGGACTCTGACTTGCTGTCCTCTCCTCCCAGCTGGACAATGTGGATGAGCAGGCAGCGCAGATCCGGAGGGAGCTGGACGGTCGACTGCAGCTTGCCGAGAGAATAGCTACGGTAACCCATCGCATCTTCACCTTGGTTTTCAAGAGCGCCTCCGCTGGTAACAAAAGGGAAAAACCTAACCTGGAAGAGCACCTGCTGCTTTATTTAGCTCTGCTTTTGGCAAGGATATTAAAACATCTTCCCACTCAGATTAATTTGTTGTAGCACCTCCTAACTACATAGCCGGCCAACAGGGATCAGCAAAGCCTTACTGAGGACCTGGGCTCTGGACCTCGAACATCTAAGGCATGAACCACAATCCACTGTATAGTGGAAGGTCCACATAAGCCAGGGGGGCCCAACTCCAGTCCTGGGGGGGCGCAGCCCTGTGTAGCTTAGCTCTTTCCCTGTTCCACCATAAATGATTCAGCTTAAGAGCTGCGTGGTAATTAGCACAAGAAGTTGAATCAGGTGTGTTAAATGAGGGGAAACCCAAAAATGTGCAGGGCTCCGGCCCCCCAGGACTGGAGTTGGGCCCCCCTGACATAAGCACTGTCCCCTGTGTGGTTCAGGAAAGGAGACATCCCAAGCTCATCTCCAAGGACATGGAGGTGCTGTACGTGGACGAGCTCCGGGCCTCTGTCAGCTTTCTCATGGCCAACCTGGAGAGTCTCCCAGTCTCCAAAGGTGGACCAGACCTGAAGCCGCAGAAGTCGAAGCGTTCCTCCATCAACTCCTCCTTCCTGGACATGGTGGACGAGAACGACGTGCTGCTGTCCAAGTCGGACGTGGTCCTGTCTTTCTCGCTGGAGGTGAGCAGTCTTCAACATGCCTGGCCTCACTGTGCCCCCTTGTGGAGCATCCTGGAAGCTCTCAGTAGTAGGTCTTTTTTTTTATAGCTCCTCTTCTGATTGGAGCAAGGGAAAAAAAAAGAATAAGGTGAATAAAACCAGGAAATGACATATGATAAGAAAGATGGCTATGCTTGGCTATTTCAGTAGGTCGTTTAGAGATGTGCGCGCTTCCTAAGATCCGTCACCCACCCGACAGCGTCCCCGCCTGTTCCAGAGTGCTGGTCTGCACGTGAGCACCCCCTAATGGACGGTGCATCTATTTACCCCTGCAGATCGTCATCATAGAGGTGCAGGGCCTCAAGTCCGTGGCCCCTAACAGGATCGTGTACTGCACCATGGAGGTGGAGGGGGGGGAGAAGCTGCAGACCGACCAGGCAGAGGCCTCCAATCCGCAGTAAGAGCGCCCCCATGTGGCCCCACCTGTCTGACATCCTTTTGTTTATGAGTCGGTAAAAATGCATGCATCTGACACCAAGGGTAATCCATACACTGAAGGGGTTATTACCAAGAGAGGAGAATTAAAAATTTATATTTTAATATGTGATAACTTAAAAAATAACAGAGGGGTTTTAAAGTATGGGAGACATCCTCACTGTAAGGCCAGGCAGAAAGCTGCGGATGCTGTGCCTGCGATCAGAAGGTCGCAGGTTCGAATCCCGGGGTCAGTAGAGTGATGTCACTGTGGGGCCCCTGAGCGAGGCCCCTAACCCCCAGTCTCTCCAGTGATTGATTGACCCTGCTTTCACAAGAAATAGAATTGTTTGTTTGTTTGTTTGTTTAACAGCCTCGGATTGTTCCAGAAGGGATCATAACTTACATTTGCAGGATTTAGTCACAGACCAGCACCGCACTGCATGTGCCCCTTCGTAAGCGAGACGACGGAGATGTCGCCATCGTGGAAGACCTGTCATAATGTAATAACCCCCCCCCAGATTGCTTTTATTAGCTGTGACCTGCCCCCCCTGCCCTTCGGCCACTGTGCCCAGCTGCTCGTGAATCAGAGGCCAGTGGTGATTCAGGCAGGCGTGACTGCCTCCTGCGCCAAAGACGAGGCCCATCTTGTCCAAGAATGGCTCTGCTCCGGAGAGCCGTGACGGATCCGCTGCGGGCTGTCGGAGGCTTTGGGACGACCCTGATAAGCCTCGCCGTCCCGATAGCACAGGCTCTCGCCTCGGATCACACGCCCGGCTGCTGGAGACCGCGGCCCGTGTGTGAAATTCACCCTTCGGCGAATCAGACCTCAGCCGCCCGCCTTCCATACTAATGGCGGCATTGTCAACTTTAAGAGTTCCAGAAAGGGAATTTTGTGATACAGCAGTGATTGACAGCTGTGACGACCAATAAGGAAGAGGCAGCGTTTCGGTCCTGTTGGTCCGGTTCACAGTGATGACGTGAGGCGTCAAACTAAGTTCCCGGTGCTGTGATGGTTCCTGAAGCCACACAGGGCAGACTAAACATGGAATCCCTGACCCGATGCTGCCCCCCACTGGTAGCAGCGAGCGATTGAATGGCACACAGCCCAGGAGGAGGTTAATGAGTTGCAGTGAATGACAGATAGAAACTTTCTACTGCCAGAGGAGTTTAGCAGGGGATGTATTCCCAGGGTGATGGTACGACAGGGGTGGGGGCAGGAGTGCTCAATCTCCCTCATGCCAGAAGCAGAACACAGGCATGTTTTCTGAAATGCCTTACCCAAGACGCCCTCTCTGAATTCTAATTCGCTTCGCTCGTTGGGAATTATCAGCAGCTGTGAAACTGCTTCTCTGTTTCCTTGGCAACTGGGAAAAATAAGCCCCCCACCCCCCACCCCCACCCATGTTTGTGTGCTTACCTCCCCGGAGGTGACGAAAGGTCATTTCATGTTCCACGGATGTGCACACCTCGCACGGCGCCAGCGGAACACGGGCTGACAGAGGGATCCAGCCACGACAGCCGTGAAATCGCTCACATTAGTGCTACAGGTGGTTCGTGGAAAAAGAAGGGAAGTCTCTAACCTGAGAGTCTCTAATCAACCTGAGAGTCTCTAACCTGAGCCTCAGTTGAAGTTTTGCTTGTCATGTGACTTTGAGCAATCAGAAAGCTGGATACTTTTGGTGTTCCATGTCACGACAAGATGCGACAGTGATTATGTTGACTATGACGAAAGGGTTGCTAGTTAGTAAAGTTGTTGTTTTTCTTGCACATCTGTGTAGCTCCTTGGCTCTTCAGGTTTAAAGCAGCTTCTTGCAGCTCAAACACCCAGAGCTTACAGACAGTGGATGGGACAGTGCTGGACTGCGATTAAAAATCAGCCCTGGGCTTTGGGATACCCCGCGTAAATTTTGATGAATGGGTGGGGTGGGGAGGTCCCATTGATGAATTTTGTCCGCTCACTGGGAAACTGGCGGCATTCCAGATGGTCTGTGTAGCTCTGGGACAGCGCAAGGGGCTGGGACCCTGTTTTTGTTCTCTTTCGCAGGTGGGGGACGCAGGGCGACTTCACCACGAGCCACCCCCTGCCGGTCGTCAAGGTGAAGCTGTTCACGGAGAGCACAGGGGTGCTGGCGTTGGAGGACAAGGAGCTGGGCAGGGTGAGGACCCCCTCACACACACAGCAATATGGCCGCCGTGAGCCGTGCCGGCCAGGGGTCACCTCCCTACCGTCACCCCGAAAGGTATTTTCACAGAATTAGAATGAGATTATGAATAAACGGCCTCTTCCTGAAGCGTACAATATGCTAGCTGTGCCGAGGAGCATCTGTACGGCTCGTCATTAGCCTCGCTGCACGTTCAACAACCTCAACTTGAGCATCATGTGTGAACGCGGAGCCTCAGTCTCTCAGCTCGCTGGCTGCCAGCATCGCTGCCAAACAGATGGCGTCGCCCATTAGCGAGGACTTAAGCGCTCGGCCACGTGCCGGAGACGGCGGCGGGAATCTTACTCCCACTGCCGGGGGATGATGCCGGAACGAATGTGGCTGTCGGTGGATCTTCGTACGGAGGGAGGCTGCGTGACTCTGTCTCTCCCTTTAACCCCACCCCCGGCAGGTGGTGCTGAACCCCACAACCAACAGTCCCAAATCTATGGAGCTGTACAAGATGGTGGTGCCACGGAACAGCCAGGACTCTGAGCTGAAGATCAAGCTGGCCGTGCGAATGGAGAAGCCGCCCAACATGAAGCACAGCGGGTAGGAGGCTGGGGGGGGGGGGGGGGGTAACCAGAAGGGGGGGGGGGGGGGCTTGGAGGGGGGGGGGCAAACTAGGCGTGAGCAGATAGTGTAGGCTTGGCTGAAGGTGGGCAGACTGGGGATGGGGTGTCCTTAGGGGCGTGGCTTGCTGGGGGATGGTTAGGGGCAGAGCCTGCTGGCGGCAGACCCCCACGGTTCCCTATCCATCCCGACGAGATGCTGATCCTGTAGCTATGTCTTGCCAAAAGACACGAAGCCCGCGGCCGCCAGTCCCACAGCATCGCATCCAGGGGTGCTGTAAAGGGGGGGTAAACGATGACGATTCTCGGGGCCCATGACTGAGAGGGGGCCCAGAGAAGCCCCCAATAAAATTGTGGTGCTGATAGTAAAAATTAGTTGGGGGCCCTGTCAAGATTCTTTTCATGGGGCCCAAAATCCTTAGCAGCGCCCCTGATCGCATCCTCGGTTACCGGTGAAGAAAAACGAGCCAAGTCGACAGCTCATTAATCGGCAAAGTGATGCACTCCCCTTTAAAGGGGAAATCTGATTTCTTACCCGCGGAACCATTGATCAAAGTGTCTGCATCACCAATCTACAGCTGTCCCCCGTCAGCGAAAGTCACGTCTCCTTGGGAGCGGAAACAAGAACGTTTCCGTAAAGTCACTGGATGGAGTAATTTGAGTGCTTAGTTCAGGAAACAAATAAAAGACGGCTTACAGTGCGAAAATAATCAGGATATGCGTAATATAAAGACCACTGGCGCCCCCTGCCTGTTCTAATAAGAAATTTATAACATAAAGTGTTGTTGGTGTATTAGTGATGGTATTTCGCCTGTGTAGTTATAGTTATTGGTCATTATTGATAAAAAAAATAATAATGTTATGAATTATGGACTCCACATTTTTTCCACACTTTTATTGGAATATTACTTCAATTACAATTACCTGTTTGTGAGCGATTCATTTGGTGTTATCTTGTGTGCATGTACATGATATTGCCAGCAGAGGGCAATCATCCGTCCATCCATCCGTCATGCTTACGTTTATATGTTAATATTTCTTAAAGTTGATTTGTGTGGATAGTATCAGAAGAGCTGAACTCCACTTTGTACGTTTTTGCCTTACACCAAGTCTCTTCAACATACTTAATTACCCACATATTGTGATAGTTTTTGATAGATATACACTTTATTAATCGCACAGGAAATTTAGGAATTTGATAAAGGGAATATATGTTAGTGATCAAAAATCATCAGTTAGAATAAATCCTTTAACTAGTTCTGTGTTTAAACCAAATTAGCTGGTGAACAGCTTCCCAGCATGTTATCCGCAGCCCAGAGGCAGTAATGTTCGGCATCACATCCTCTGTTCATCTGGATTTTTTTATTGACACAGAGATGTTTTAAAGAACAGAATTTCACGAACTTTCAGCTTAAAGATAAAACTAAAGCTTCATTGATTTTTAAAGGTTAAATATGTTAAATATTAAAGTAGTAACTCTTGAATCCTCAATAATCTTGCCCACTGCTAAAAACATTCTGGTTAAACATTTATTTCTGGAGTATTTTATTAATTTTTGTCTTTATAAGTTTAATGTATTTAATATGTATGCTTTAAATATTATTTCATAATATTTTGAGCTTTATTATAAAATAATATTTAAAGCATATATTTTAAGCTCTGGTAACACCACAGTTTATAATAAGTATCTGATACGTAATGCCCATGAGTATCCGACATGGATATTGGCCATGAGTATCCAACAGGAAAATGCCCCTGAGTACCCGACAGGCAATGCCCCTGAGTATCCGACAGGCAATGCGACTGAGTATCCGACAGGCAAATGCGCCTGAGTATCCGCCAGGCAATGCCCCTGAGTACCCGACAGGCAATGCGCCAGAGTATCC